AGCTGAGGCTCGCAGGCGCGCGCCCCGCTCCCCGCTCCCCGCTCCCCCTCCCCCGGCGCCCGCCCTCCTCTCCTCGCCCTCCCCCGGCCTCTCCCTCCTCTCTCTCTTCCTCTCTCTCACGCTCGCTCCCTTCTCCTCCTCCCTCCGTCCCTCCCTCTCTGTCAGAGGTGGCTCCTTCTGCTGGAAGAGAAAAGGGAGACAACCGCAGCCACACCCTGGCACCTGCCACCTCCTCTGAAGTTCCTACGCTGGCTGCACCTTTTGCATGCCCGCCGGAAACTAGGGGGTTAAGGGAGGCCCCCCTCAGTGTCTGAGAGTCTCTAGGTTTCCAGCATTGACTTCATAATTAACCACGTTACGGATTCCCCTGAAGTTCCTTTCTCACTACAGCCAGGGAAAGAAGTTAAGAGATTTTGAAAAGTGGCTCTTGGGGCGCGCAGAGCAGCGTGAGGGAACGAACCCTGCCGAGTGAATTGTCCCGGATTTCTCAAGAAATGCAACGTAGTCGACAGCCAGACTCTAATCAGTGGGGACAGGACTGCTCTGCTGTTTCCTGTGCACTTGAGTTAGCTCTGGGACTGGGAGAGAGGGCTTGGGCTCATCTGTTCACGGCGCAAGGGTGAAAGCGAATAGGAGACATCCATCTCGTTAAGCTGTACATCTGTTTCAGAGGAGAAAGTGGGGCGCGCTTGGAGGCTGTAAGGCAATAGAAAAACGGACAGATTCTTGAGGCATCCCCAAGGTGGGTCAATGTTTCCCTCCTACCTACCCACACCGAAATAAATGGACTGGGTTTTGCAGTGAAAGTGATTGAACCAAAAATACAGCTCATGGCTGACAATTGTGCTTTCTCCTCTGTTTTTCGCTTAGAATGATTGCTTACTGTACATGGATTCAATTCCAGCAGTTGCAGGTACCAAAATGAAGTAACAGTGCTCTCCCTCACTTCTCTCTCTCTCTCTCTCTCATTTCCTTTTAGAGTGGGAGGTAGAGAGAGAGACTGAAACACAGATACAGAGAAATTGAAGGAAGCTTTATTGAAGTCAATTTGCAAAGAGAATTTGCTAAGAAAAGAGTAACAGAAGACAAGCCATGTAACTTCATCTCTCTTTGCCTCCTGAATCCTTTAAACTTCGATTTCTGCCTTCCCTTTGGATTTTGAAGTGAGATCAAGGTGAATGGAAATGTAATTTTGAACACTGTTAGGAAGGAGTTAAGATATCCTATCACTGGCAAACAAACAACAAAAGAAAAAAACCTTTCAAAAGAAGGTTAGTTTGTATCTCATGGCAGGTGTTACATGTTAAAAGCATTTAAATGTTAAAAACATTTTTAATTTTTTAGAAAATATTTTAAGAAAAAGGAGATTCATTTATTCACTGTCTGATTTTATACTTAAGTCCACAGTTGTTAGAGTAAGACAGCATTGTCCAGCAAAGTACTTTCAAACCATCATATTCCAACTATCTGGCCCATCAGCAGTACTTCAATTTGAAAGTATGCTTTCAGTCATGCTGTGGTATGTTCATCATGAAGTACATCTTTAACTTTTGAAATGAGGCATTGGGTATTAGTTCTACAGTGTTATTTCTAAAGGGTAGAACTAAATCTTTTCAAAAACTTAAAATTAGAAAATCTCTCTGTGATGAAAGACTTGAAAAAAAGACTGTGTGTTAAGAGTTGTTTGGTTTCCTAGTTTACGCCCTATGTACATCCCCCTTGCTGATAGTATATGATCATAATAAACTTGTTAAGAAGTTAAGTATTTTTTTTTCAAAAACTTAAAATTAGAAAATCTCTCTGTGATGAAAGACTTGAAAAAAAGACTGTGTGTTAAGAGTTGTTTGGTTTCCTAGTTTACGCCCTATGTACATCCCCCTTGCTGATAGTATATGATCATAATAAACTTGTTAAGAAGTTAAGTATTTTTTGTAATACTGCATATTGCAAGCATTTTTTTTAACTTAAGGAAGGGGAAAAAACAACCTCCAGAGAGTCATAAAACTATATTAAAATGGATATTATATGCCCAGATATCTAGAGTGGTGACAGTAAATGCCATTCTGTATTATCTGGTAGAAAACTTGTGTACAATTTGCTGTCAGTGTAATGCCTCTACTTCCTTAAATCAATACACTCTTAGACTCACAGCTCAATATGCATAACTTCTTGTTTCTACTTATTGATAATGATCATCTACCAATAAAGCTTTCATTTAGAAGATTCTAGACACTTTAACTAATTTACATTTATAGAACTCTTACTAAACTCATATAAAGCCTCTTCAGAAGTGGAATGTAAGAAATGCTAAAGCACCAAAGAAACTGAAATATAAAAAAAAAATGAAAATAAAGTAGAAGGACGAAACTCTGATATGAATCTTTTACCTCACGTAAAGTGCTAAAGGACCTTTACTAATCACATACGATCCATTCTGCAGTTTTATAGTTTCTCCAAATATGTGCACAAAGTGCCAAAAATGAATCTGTACATCATTTGAAGACAGCATTTCCCAAATCATTTTTAGCAGGCCACCTTTTCTCCTAAGATATTAATATATTTCTGGGAGAAAAAAATGTTTCATGGTCAAATAATTTTGGGAAACATCTCATATTAAAACAGCCTTTTGAAGATTCATGGTGAATGTTAGAATATTAAGTTCTTTGAAAGGTCCTGTAGTTAAGTTTTGCCAAAAGTATTTCATCTAGCATTTGCAAGCTTCTCTTTCTTTCTTATTTTTCTGTGCAAACTTTTTCTCAGAACACCTGTTAACGTATCGAAGATTTAGTGCCACAAGGAAAATAACTTGGAAATGTTGCCTTTTTTTACTGTGAACTGGATGTTCCCCCCCCCCAAATTCATACTTTGATGTCTAAATCCCCAATATGATGGTATTTGAAGATGAAACCTTTGGAAGGGAATGAGGGTGGATCCCTAAGATAATGGGTTTAGAGCCCTTACAAGAAGAGATACCAGAGAGATGATCTCTCTCTTTTCTCTGCCATGTGAGTACATAGTAAGAAGACAGTCTTTTATGAATCAGAAGGTGGACCTTTATCAGACATGGATTCTGCTAGTACACTGATCTTGGACTTCCCAGCTTCCAGAACTGTACAAAATAAATGTTTATTGTTTAAGTCACCCAGTCATTGGTAATTTGTTATAGCAGCCCAAACTGTCCGACTGCAGTTCAAGTCCGGGACCTGGAGGCTTGAAACTCACACTGGGCACATGTGCATGTGTGCCCAAAATCCCAAGAAGAGACTGGAGGAGAATGGGGCATGGCCGTGCCCCCTGGGGAGTGATTTCTCATTTTCTGTTTCTCTATCTCTATGGCAAGCTCATGTGCCCCATGGCAAAAATCTCTCTGGAAAAAAAATATTCCTGCTTTGGCTTGCAGTTTAGATTCTGGTGCTTACCTGGATTCAAGTATGCATTGGATTCTAAATTTGGATTCTGTTTCTACCACTATATCTCTTTTAATCCAAAGTCAGTTCATTGCCAAACCTTGTTTTCTCATTTTGTAAAATGGAGTTAGTAATTTTATTAAACTCATGGTAGAAGGTGGTTGTGGTTCACAAAACAGCCTAACGCAGTACTGGGCACACAGTGATGATGATAGGAAATGATGATTCTAATAAGATGATGGTGACCTTAGGGAATTCCAAAAGAACTTTCCTTAACAGCTGGTCATCTCCATTCTCCATCTCCCACTCCCATGAATTATCTAAAAAAAATTTTAATACATCTTTCAATTTGTCAAGCAACAAATAGTACTAAATCCAGTATGAAGGGTCTTCAAAAACTTAATGGAAAATTATCTGTTGAAGATAATAGGTATTATAATATCTTTGATTGGGGTGGGAAATAATCTTGATGGGAAGATTCATTTTGCATACGGTAATGATATACAGTGAGTGAACATAAAAAAAAGCTATACATGGGTTTCAAAAAATCAGGGATCAAAATAAATTTGTAATTTAATTCCATTTTTCCATAAACTATTTGAAAGTTTTATTTCTTATCTCTATAATTATTGAATTACGTTCATAAACAAACTAGATGCTGAATCTTAGATTATTTGACCAAATTACATTCAGTGATACTATCAATTTTTTAGATCAGTTTACATTTAAAGACATGGTTTTGCATTTCAAAACCTTTTGCTTAATACCCTAAATACCCCTGGATTAAAAATTGGATTTCAGCCTCTGGGGTCCAAAGCAGAAAATCCATCCTGGACTTCTGGTCTACAAAACTCAGAGCTAATAAATTAGTGTTGTTTTCAACTACTAAGTTTCAGGTATTTTGTTATGCAGCAATGCAAAGCAAATGGAGTAGCTCACCATTGTTACTTCCCTTTTAGAGCGGAGAAACAAGGCAGTGAGAGGACTGATGGCACAGGGTCTCCAGTTAGCCAGTACTTAGAGCCAATAACTGAATCTACACAGTCCAAATTCAGAGTCCCCAATGTTTGCTGCCATCAGTTGTGGAGGCCCCTCTGTATGCTATGCTCTACTGCATCTTACATGTATTATTTACAGACTCATCCCAACAACCTTAGTGAAATAAATACTATTATTTCTGTTTAACAGCTGAGAAAACCAAAGATCAAGACATTTAAATACTTTATCCAAGACCAAAGCTGCATTCTGAGACAGAGACAAGAGCCAGGATCTGAGCCCTGGTCTGATTCCAGGGGTGAATATTACAGCCATTATGTAGTAATGCCTGTTTACATAGTAGTCTCACTTATTTATTTCCATTTTCAATGTAAGTGGCTAGAACTGTAATTGCCATTTTTTTTCCAGTAGAGCCTGTCTACATTCTTCTGACCTTCTTGATTTATACTTTTAGAA